TTTCCCTGCTCTCTCTCTCTCAAAATAAATAAAATTTAAAAAAAAATTAGTTCTTTCCTGGGAGAAAGGAGTCTTCTTCAGCAAGGTGGGCTCATGCCCTTGCTTTGGAGAGGATCTCAGGCCCCGCCTAGTCCAGGATGCAAACCCAAGCCAGGGCTAGGTACCAGGTGAGACCAGCAGGAAGGAGCTTTGCACCTGGAGTTCTGAGCCTCTTCTCCAAGGTCATCACGCACCTGTACCCCATTGGGTTCCAGCCACACCCTTCCAGGCCAGGACAGGGGACTGGGAGGTAACTAACCTCTAGTGAGGAAGGGAAGAGGGAGGCACTGTGTCATGATAGAAATTGCCACCATTTGTCAATATTTCTCTGCCTCAGACTTTTACTTTTTTTTTTTTAATTTTTTTTTTCAACGTTTATTTATTTTTGGGACAGAGAGAGACAGAGCATGAACGGGCGAGGGGCAGAGAGACACAGAATCTGAAACAGGCTCCAGGCTCTGAGCCATCAGCCCAAAGCCCGATGCGGGGCTCGAACTCATGGACCGTGAGATCGTGACCTGGTTGAAGTCGGACGCTTAACCGACTGCGCCACCCAGGCGCCCCAGACTTTTACTTTTTAAAAATACAAACGTGCATATAGGTAATATGTCTATGCAGTACAAAAAAAGAACACTTGCTAAATACCCCCACCCTACAACCTTGTTTGGAGATAAACTATGCATTTACAAACATATACTTTCTTTTTTTTTAAATAATGTTTATTTATTTTGAGAGAGAGAGAGAGAGAGAGAGCAAGCAGGGGAGGGGTAGAGAGAGAGGGAGACAGAGAATCCCAAGCAGGTTCCAACAGCTGTCAGCACAGAGCCTGACTCAGTGCTTGAACTCACAAACCATGAGATCATGACCTGAGTTGAAACCAAGAGTCGGTCACTTAATGGACTGAGCCACTCAGGCGGTGCAAGCATGTACTTTCTTTACCTAAATGGTAGCTTATCTAATACACTTCTTTTGTTCTTTGCTTTTGTCACTTAATTATATACTTCTACATGCAGAACTTTCTATATGTCTACATGTAGAGTTATATAATAGCTGGACACTTGTGTCAAAATGTATTTAACCAGCCTCCTACATATGGAGATTTAGGCTACTTCTGGTCTTTTGTTGTTATAAACAACACTGCAAAGAATATCCTTGCACAAATGTCACTGTGTTGCAGAACTTTACATTTTTATATAGTTGGATTTATGCTTCTTTGGCTTCTGGGTTTCAGTCAAGCTCAATAAGGCCTATCCCCTTGATGATACTTTAAAAAAAAAAACCCTTCTCTAAAAAAATTTTTTTGAGTACTTCCATGGTTTTACTTTCTCACTTATATCTTTGTTTGGATTTTCTTTTGTGGAGGTGTGATATTCGCATCCAGATTAGGATTCCTCCTGCATCAGCAGATGTTCTCCCAGGCATTTCAGACAAGAGTATTGTCACTACAGCTCAGGACCTACTAATATATCTTCATTTTACACGTGAAAAACAGAAGCCCAGAGAGGTGGAGGCATGTGGCCCAGCTCACTCAGGGAATAATTGGAAACTGGGTTCCAACGGGAAACCCAGAGACCCCACCCTTAACTACAATAAAAATAGCCTTTATTTTGAGCCAAGCAATTACTTAAAAAAAATAAATACATTTTCTATTTTGGAACAGTTTTAAAGTAACAGAAAATAGTCCAGAGAGTACAGAGTTTCCATACAGAGAACAGTAGGGAGAGAATAGTACAGTTTCTCTACCCCCCCCACCCCCAACTCCTTTGAATGATACGTTTCTCACAGTAGATGAACCAATACTGACACATTATTATCTAAAGTCCATTCTTTATTCAGATTTGCTTAGATGCTTCTCCCCACCCCCTCCGGTTCCACATCCTGTATCCTCCTCATCCCACTACACTTGAACTTGATAGTCATGTCTCTTTAGGTTCCTCTTAGCTGTTGACAGTTTCTCAGACTCCCCCTGTTTTGGATGAACTTGACAATTGGGGGAGTACTTATCAGGTATCCTGTAAAACGTCCCACGTTTGCGGTTTGTCTGTTTTTATTTATTTTAATTAAATTTTTTTTAACGTGTATTTTGAGAGACAGCACATGCGTGAGCAGGAGAAGGGCAGAGAGAGGGAGACAAGAGGATGGAATCAGCTCCACGCTGAAAGCAGAGAGCCTGATGAAGGGTTCAAACTCATGAAACCTTGAGATATGACCTGGGCTGGAGTTGGTCTCTTAACTGACTGAGCCACCCAGACACTTCTGTTCTTTGTTTCTTTTTTTTTTTAGAGAGAGAGAATGAGGGCGAGGGGCATAGGGAGAGAATCTTAAGCAGGCTCCACCACACTCAGCTTGAGGCCCCATGTGGGGGCTCAATCCCGAGACTCTGGGATCATGACCTGATCCAAAAAACCAAGAGTCTGAAGCTCCCAGGCACTGCTGTCTGATGTTTTCTTATGATTGATGAGGCTATAGTTACAGGTTTTGGGGAGAAAGACCCCACAGTTAGCGTGATTCTCATCACATCATACCAAGAGTGTATGCCATCAATGTGAACTTATCACCGTGGGGGGTTGATTTTGAATATCTGTCTGACAAAGTGTTTTCCAAGTATTATCCAGGTTAAGTTACTTGCCCTCCCACCCATAATGCACTCTTCAGAAGGAAATCACAATGTGTAGGGTGTGTAGGCCACATTTAGGGTGGAGAATTAGGCTCCACCTCCTTGAAGTATCTAAATTATTTGGAATTCTGCACAGGAGTTTTTTTTTTTTTTAACGTTTATTTATTTTTGAGACAGAGAGAGACAGAGCATGAACGGGGGAGGGTCAGAGAGAGGGAGACACAGAATCCGAGGCAGGTTCCAGGCTCCGAGGTGTCAGCACAGAGCCCGACGCGGGGCTCGAACTCACGGACCGCGAGATCGTGACCTGAGCTGAAGTCGGCCGCTTAACCGACTGAGCCACCCAGGCGCCCCTGCACAGGAGTTTTATCTACACTTCCTCATTTATTTCACTTGGCAATTACTTATATGCAAATGCATATAGAATTACATTTAGTTAATCGTTCTACATTTATTTACATTTGGCAATTACTTTTAATTGAGTTTTAAACCGTACATGGATAGATGTAGAGCGATGAAACATGGATATGCCGCGAAATTTGTAACACACACTCATATGGTGAGATTCTCCCTTGCACTTTACTCAGCCAGCTCCCCAATCGCATTTACAAACGGTACAGGTATCTTTTTTTCCCCCTTTTTGTACCCAAATGGTAACTTACTAGATACACTTGTTCAGAGTCTCGGTTGTTTTTATTAATCAACCTTTTAAAGTTTAGTCAGACGTCGGGAAGCCTCCCCTTATCTCGGCCGCTGGGTGGAGCCTTCCGGGGCCGGGGGCGCCGCAGCCGCGTCTCCGATCCCGGCTCCCGCCGCCGGCGACCGGCACTTCCACCGGCTCCCGGGCCCCCGAGGGGTCGGGCGGGCGGCGCACGTGCAAAGGGCCTCCTCCGCGCCCCGCCCCCCCGCCCCGGCCTCTGTGACGTCCGCGCCGGAACCTGGAATTTCGGCTCCGGGAGCTGGCGGCGGCGGCGGCGGCGGCGGCGCCAGAGCGGGGCCCCGACGGCCTCTCCGGGGCGCAGGGCGCAGCCATGAGCGAGTCCAGTGCCAGTGCGCTCCCGCCAGGCAGGCCCGGCAGGCAGCCCTTCAGCCACCCAGGTAGGGCGACGGGGACCGCGCTCCGGGCGGCCCGCGGGCGAGCTGCCGGGAGCTGGGCGGGGGCCCAGCCCCTCGCCACCTGCCCGCGCCGGGTGCTCCTGGCTTTGGGGGAAAGCGGATCTCTCATTCTCCTGGTCTCCTTCCTGCAAGCCATCCTCATCCAATTCAGAGGCCGCATGCCCTCCCCAAAGGAGCACCGGAATGGGAGCCCTGCCCGTGTGGTGCCTTCCCGTCACTGCTCTAGGGATCCCTAATCTGTTAACTCAAAAGACTGTGAGCGCCTCGCCAGCCCTAACATTGTGGCACGAGATGTCTGCCTCCGGTAACATTTCAGGCTTTACAGTTAGACAGACTTGGAGCTATATTCTGCTTTGGCTGTTTATTGCTGTGTGATGTTTGGTAGATGGCTTGCCTTCTCTGTGCCTCAGATTCTTCAGCAGTAAAATGGGACTAGGATGTTGGTGGGATTAGTTGAGAGAAAAATATGTGAAGTGCCAGGCACAGTGCCTGGTACACAGAAAGGCATAATAAATGGTAGCCAGCCAAGTGTTACAGTCTTTTTCCTTAAAAAAAAAAAAAAAAAAAAAAAGGTGATTTGTTTATTTTTTTATTTATTTATTTATTTACAGTGCATGAGCAGAGGAGAGAGAGAGAGAGAGAGAGAGAGAGAGAGAGAGAGAGAGAGATTCCTAAGCAGGCACTACACTCAGTGCAGAGCCCCACACAGAGCTTGTTCTCACAACCGTGAGATCATGACCTGAGTCAGACGCTTAACTGACTTGGGCACCCCTCTTTTTCATTTTTTATCAAGTAAAACTTACAGTGAAGTGTAAGCATAGTGAATTTTTACATAAATATGTACAACTGCTACCCATTCAAGATAAAAAGTTGCCAACACACGGGCGGGCTTCCCAATAGTGTTTGCATCTTACATGTGCCCTGAACCTGCTGTGAGTTTTACAAGCAGCGTTTCCTCTATTTCAATTTGAGAATAGAAGTTTTGTCACAAGAATTTACAGTAAGTAAACCGTGAGTGTAGATTGGGGCATTGGGCCCTTCTGATTGGATTGTTCTCTGCATCTTGAAGAAGAGGAAGGAAGATATCTAGAGAGACCCAAACCCTGGGAACTTGCTCAGGAATCAGAAAACAGAAGTCAGATTCATTTGGATGCTAATTATTTTTTAGCTCATTGTTAATAGTGTTGGCATCAGCTCAACTTCAGGCATTCAATCAGGGCCATTCAAGTGTTTTTCTAGTTGGTTTCCATTTACCTTGCTCTTAGTTTGGCACAATCCATCACATTTAAGATGCCAGGCGTGGTTTCCCAGACAGAGGGCATGAGATTCATCTATTTTCAGTCTCTGCTGGGTGTTTAAGGAGACTTTGTAAGCCTCTTTTTATGAGTGTCATAACTGGCTTCTCTGACTAAAAGGTCTTCCCTGTCCTTAGGGCAAATGATGTTTTATCACCTTGTATCCACCAGCCTGACTGGGAGGCTCAGAAGGGATTGTGTTTGTAACTCTGTTGTGCTTTGTAAATGGTGGCCTGTTCTATGGGCATCACGAAAGCACAGCTGGAGTGGCAGGAGACAAAGGGGATCTGGTTTACAGATTGGGAAATATGCATCTTTCTAAATGATGAAAATTCCTCCAATATATTGTTGCTGCCTCAGGGCCTTTGCACCAGCTGTTCTCTTTGCCTGAACTACATTCAGGCAGCCTCTTCCTCCTCCTGTCAGATCTCTACTCAGATGTCACCTCAGAGAGGCAGATCTCTGGAGACTTTGTCTGAAGAAGTGCTCCCATCTCTCTTCCCCTGATTGGTTCCCTTGTTTATTCCTTCAAAGCACTTACCACCTTCTGAAGTCATCTGGTTTGATTGTTTTCTTGTCTATTAGATGTCTCTTCTACAATGTGCGTGCCATGAAAAGCAAGTGCTTTGTCTTTTTCTGCCAACACCCAGAACAGTGTCTGGTACGTAGATGCTAAATATGTGTTCAAAGAATGAATGAATGAATGAATGAATGAATGAAGTGTACCCGAAGCCACACTGACAGCTATAGCGTAGTGGCTGAGAATCTAGACTCTGGATTCCCAGATGTAAATCCTCATTTTCCATGTACTGGTTTTGTCTTCAGGCAAGGCACTGAAGGGTTTGGTGCCTCAGTTTCCTTATGTATTAAATGGAGGTAGTGACAGTACCTACTTCGGGGGTCAGTATAAGGACTAAGAAAGTTAATTTACATTAAAAACTTCGTAAGGACTTGTATTAGTTATCTATACTGTTGACAAATTATCCCCAAACCTAGAGGCTTAGAACAGTAATAATCTCTTCTTATCTCACAGTTTCTGCAAGTCAGGAATTTGGGGATGACCTATCTATGTGGTTCTGGCTCAGGGTCTCTTAGGAAGTTGCAATCATGGTATCAGCCAGGGATGCAAATCTTAGGAAAGCTTGCCTGTGGCTAGAGGTTCCCTTCCAAAGATGGCTTGCTCAGATGGTGAACCGACACTGGCTGTTGGCCGGAAGCCTCTCCATATGGACCTCCCAGAAGGCTGCTTGAGTGCCCTGTTGACATGGCAGATGGTCCAGGAGAGGGCAAAGAAGTCCTAATCTCTTTGATCATCCGCTCTTGGAGATTACACCTGTTCTTTCTGCAATATCTTATTGGTCACATGGGGCAGCCCTGTTCCGTGTAGAAAGGACCTATGTAAGGATGTGAATATCGGTATTTGGGGGAGAGGGTCACCGGCAGCCACCTTGGAGACTTTTGTGGCTGTCACAGGACCATGTAAGTATTAACTGTTGTTATTAATGTCTCTGTTCCCTACTAGATGATAAGCCCAGGGCTGGGCTCACCGTCATGTCCCCATGCTTAGTATAGTGCTTAGTACATAGTACACCTTCAGGAAATAGTTGAGTGCACACCTTTCATGATTTGGTACTGTGATGCTTCTAGAGCCTGCAAAGCCCCTTCTGTTCCCTCTGCCATGGGTGCCATTCATTACCTTATTCCTTTGTAAGACATACTCCTCTTCTTTCAGTCTGGTGTCACTTCCTCCTAGAAGCCTTCCCTGACTGCCTCCCCTTTCATAGGCTAGACTCTGTCCCTGCTTCATGCCCACATGGCCCATTGACCTCATCCTGTCCAAGTATCCATTGGACTGTATTCTCACTTCTCTTGAGTTTTATCAGTTTTTAAAATGTTTACTTATTTTTGAGAGAGAGAGAGAGTGCATGCAAGTGGGGGAGGGGCAGAAAGAGAGGGAGACAGAGGCTCGGAAGCAGGCTCTGGTGCAAAGCCCGATGCAGGGCTCAAACCCATGAGCCATGAGATCATAACCTGAACCAAAGTTGGATGCTTAATCAACTGAGCCACCCAGGCACCCTGAGTTATATCATTTAAAATAGTTTTTTAAAAATGTTTGTTTATTTTTGAGAGAGAGAGGCCGAGCACAAATGGGGGAGGGGCAGAGAGAGAGGGAGACACAGAATCCCAAGCAGGCTCCAGGCTCTGAGCTGTCAGCACAGAACCCGACCCGGGGCTCGAATTCACGAACTGTGAGATTGTGACCTGAGTCAAAGTCGGATGCTTAACCGACTGAGCCATCCACGTGCCCCGGCAAGTTATATCATTTTTAAGAGCAGGGATTTTGGAATTGAACAGACCCAAGTTCAGACACTGATTTGCCTCGGTTTCCATGACTAGGAAGTGAAGGTTATGATAGGAGTAAAGGCTGGAGGCCCACCTTCTCCCAGGATCTATAGACAGGATTGCCACTCTGAGCCAGCCCCTGGCTACCTCTCCTGACCCCTGCTCCTGTCCCACTCATGTCCCCAGGCCCCAGCCACCCATTGTTCCCTTCCAGTGTTCTTCTCCTCAGGTCTGAAGGTCATTGTTCTGTTCTGCCTGATCTCAGCTGAAATGTCACCTCCGAGGAGCAAAGACCCCCCTGTATCTCAAGTGCCCCCAGGAGGCATTTGCCCACTCCATACCCCTCAGTCCCATGACTCCTGGCATGTGCTGTTTGTTGAATGGAATGACTTGGTGTTTCCCCTTTGCCAAACATTTGCCATATTCCAGTCAGTAAGCACTTCATACGACATCATCTTCAACCAGAATGCATTCAGTGATTTATTTATTTTTTTAATTTTTATGCATTTATTCTCATTATTATTATTTCAGTGTTTTTGAGAGAGAGAGAGAGAGAGAGAGAGAGAGGGAAAGGAGGAGAGGGACAGAGAGGAGAGAATCTTAAGCAGGCCCAGGTGCCCCATTCAGTGACTTTTAAGTTGAGGCATAATTCACATAACGAAATCAACTATTTGAAAGGGTCCAATCCAGTGGCATTTAGTACATTCATCACCTCTATCTAGTTGCATTGTCATCACTCCCAAAGGAAGGCCTCTGTCCATTAAGCTATCACTCCCTGATTCCCCCTTCACCCAGCCCCTGGCTGCCACCAGTCTGCATTCTGTCTCAGTGGGTTTACCTAGTTTAGACATTTCATAGAAATGGGATCATACAGTAGTGTGACCTTTTGTGACTCCCTTCTTTGCTTAGCATAAACAATGTTTTCAAGGCTTATCCACATTATAGCCTGTATCCATTCTTCATTCCTTTTTATGGCTGAATATTATTCCATTGTATGGTTATACCACAGTTTGCTTATTCGTTCATCCGTTAATGCACGTCTGGATTGTTTCCAGCTTTCAGCTCTTAGGAAAGGTGCTGCTGTGAGCACTTGTGTACAAGTGTTTGATTGAACATCTGTTTTCAGCTCTTTTGGGTAGGTACTTAAGAGTGGAATTGCTGGGGGGCGCCTGGGTGGCGCAGTCGGTTAAGCGTCCGACTTCAACCAGGTCATGATCTCACGGTCCGTGAGTTCGAGCCCCGCGTCGGGCTCTGGGCTGATGGCTCAGAGCCTGGAGCCTGTTTCCGATTCTGTGTCTCCCTCTCTCTCTGCCCCTCACCCGTTCATGCTCTGTCTCTCTCTGT